TTCAAATTTTTAAAATTCTCAAAAACTCTTTAATTATTCCATTATTTGAAATAAATAGGAGTAGATTTTGAAACTTTTAAAGTGTGCCGAGTATTTAAACATTCGATGTCTTAAATTCCTTTAATTCATAAGAAAAACTTAAGTTTATTGAAGGGTTCCGAAATTATTTAAACTTGAAAAATTTGTATATGGTAAAGATAAAGTTGCCGGTCACGGTAGCCGAGCGGTCTAAGGCATGTACTGTCTTCGCTCGCTTGGAAACCGGGATCGTGGGTTCGAATCCCACTCAGGGCATGGATGTTTAGTTTCTGTGTGTGCGTTTTTGCGTGTTTGTGTACAGGTAGAGGCCTTGCGAAGAGCTGATCACTCGCCCAAGGAGTCCTACCGAATGTGTAAGATCGAGATAAACCGAAGTGAACGGAGAGGTTCATGGAGGTAGGCCTAGGCACACTGGGGCTGTAGTGCCAAGGAGGGGTGGGAAGATAAATTTGTCCTTGTGCTTGGCTAATTCAGCACTACACCATGAAGGCGTATGGGGGAGTGGATTTATAGAACCACATTTTCTTGACGTCGGCACTAGCTGGAGGTGAGTTGTCAGCTTCACGCCCCTGTCGCTTTACCCCCGGGGAAAGAGCCCCCGGTACCAATTGGATAGGAGGTTAGTTGATCCCCAGAGCCGGTTTGGCCGACTCAGAGAAGAGAAAATTCTGGAAACAAGAATTCTGCACACATCACTACCACTTCGTTCGCGAACGTCACTGGAATTCCTTTCGATTATTGGCTTACATTTGCTCGTCTACGTCTGCTCTGCATAAAGCTGCATAAATTTGCCTTCGGTTGCAGCTGTACGTAATTTCCCAGTATCGGACACGCCTACTTATTACAGTATGGTGGTTATGTATAAACCTTTGCGCGCATACTCTTAATTAATTCATAAACTTTGAACTTGAGAAAGAACTTAAAATTACATGCTTAGGATTGGTTAACCTTAATTTCTATGACAACATGAAAGCAATTACACACAACTCAACTTACACGTATATGCAGAGAACATTCTTTCAGTGTGGCTTGAACTGCAGATTCACTAATTTTCAAAACCGCGCACGCGCGTTACGGCATTACTGTGTGCGGTAAAGTTGGCGGATTATTTTTGGTTTTAAAACTCTCGTCTTGGAAGAAAAAACGAGCATCTCAGATCGCCTTCAGAACTTCTTACAGGATGTCCCTTGTACATGAGAGGTTTCATAACTCTTCTCCACACACCGCAAGAAAGTCGAACCAAGTTGGCCAGCTGTAAATGCGAAATGTTTCTAGAAAAATGTCGAACTTCTGGAATTTGTATTACATATAGACTAGGGTGAATACTACAACTTAAAACTGCATGCTTACTAAAATCATATTAAAATATCCCGCAAGATATCATACAGCAAATAAATTTGCATCAAGTCTGGAAATATTTGCGAGAGTCATAAGACGAGAAATGGCTGTTCTTTATCTGGCAGAAGTCCCGCTCCCGGCAGACAGCTCTCATGCTGTCACAATGACTGGGAAAGAACGCGCGTTAAATTTACGAGAAATTAACAGAAGTAACACGCACACTGCTTTTACTTCCACGTTAATTGTTACAGATGAGTTTTTAGCCTACTTCCCTTATTTTGAAAAAAATAAAAATAGGCTTAGGAGATTACTTTGCTGTCTGTTTTTGTCCATCTATGTGTCGCTCCCAGCAATATGACCTACAATTTTCACAGCACTGGCAAGACCTTAGAAACATTCTTAAACAAAATCTCTGTGCTAAATGAACATAATGATAGATATTACGAAACAGGAGCAATTCTGGGCCAGACAAATTATGTCATGAGGTCACTAAGACTGTAACAGATCCAGCATCAGAGGACGCGGAAGAGCAGCGAGACCTTCAAAAGTGAAAGTGAGAAGTTGAACTTTAATTTATGAACTTTTCAACCAGTGGTAATAATATAACTAGTTGAAGTGAACTATACACTGAGAAACAAGTGAATGTGATAGCATAACAAGTGATCGAAATTGAACTTCGACTCACGGAAAAAAAAATTAATTTTTAAATTTTAAATTTTAACTTTTAACATTTGAATAGTATTTTAACTTGTATTTTATAAGAACAACTGGACATATATTATAGAGCGTAGGCCTGAACAGGATAGAGGATCGAAATAAGTGGAAAACGAATGTGATTGCGTGTGATTGTGCAACTGTATTCGTACACCTGAGGATGACCTCTTGAGGTCGAAACATGTAGTGTGACAATAATAAAAATGTGTTGTGTGGTCGGTGAAATTAACCATAATATTGATTATTGAAACTGTAGGATATCTGTAATATGACGATAGGATAAGAATCGACAGGGATAAGGAAAATACTCTGAGAAAACCCATTGCAGTGTCAATTTGTCCACCACAGATCCCACATGACTTGTCCTGGGATCGAACCCGAACACCCGTAGTAGTAAACCGGCGACTAACTGCTTGAGCTTCAACACGGTTCTCCACGGTTTGTAAATGCATTGTCACCAATACGAAACTCCAACTGAGGGATGTAATTTGTCACGCAGTAAGGTGTACATGAAGTTAGTGCATAATGGGGATTCGCTTGTTTCATAATCTTCATCATTAAGATTTACCGAGTTTACGTCAAAACCTGTTCGACTATCTCCTACGGTCCACTAGAAGCAGAACTTTATAGGAAGGCAACTCGAACTTCGCGAAGTTTCTGAACGTGTAATGGAACAAGATGGCTCCGACTTGTAGCCGGGAGGCTCCTGGTTCAAATCTTGCCCAGGAAAATGTGGTTTTTCTCAGTCCCTCCACGCTACTGGCGATGTAATTCCTCAAATTAGGCCAAGAGGATCACTTCCTTCCACATCCTTTACAATTCACGCTTCATTAATCTTCCTACCATTTGACGCTGCTAGTGGCATCGCTAATTAAGCCACAAATAAAACAAAATAAAATTGCGCTTCAATGGTGGGCTCGTATTCTCCAACTGCTATGGTTGCAATACCGCCTACTTCTTTGGCCTCGACGTTCACTTATTCAAAATGGCTATAAATAAACTTGGTGCGCATGTCAAGATCTCCAGTTTCTAATTTGTCATCAGCTGAAAGTTAAGGCACCGTAACGATCAGCGCCTGTTGTATCACTACGTGTCATCACCATCACCATCATCATCATCATCATCATCATCTATACGAACGTAGACTTTTGTTAACATGTTCAGTCTCGAAGAATGTCGTCTCGTTCGTCCATCAGTGTGTGTAGTTAATACAATTAACCATGTTAAGTCAAGTTCCCAGATATTCGAACATGTTTGTACAGAATTTTTTTTCTTGTCACTACAGCTCAAGTGGGCCTAGGCCTGCCTCCATGAACATCTCCGTTTTGTTAGGTTTTTCTAGATCTTACACATTCGGTAGGACTCCTTGGGCGGGTGATCAGCTCGTCGCAATTTTACAGAAAATATGTATTGAAATTTCAACAATTTCACAATAACTGTGACGTGTTTGTATTTCATGCATAAACACTCGTTTTTCTCGCATATNAGACAACAAATAGACCTACAGGCAAACGAACGAACGAATTAAGCACTACTCCCATGAAGGCATATGGGGGAGTGGATTAAATAGACCTACAACGACTTTAAAAATGTATATAGAAATTCGTCTGAAAACTTTGGAACTTGCGTAGCCTCTAAATTATCTTTACAAGACCAACAGCATCACGAAACTGTTAAGCAATTTTTATTGTAAAACTGTGTGCTTTAAGATAACCAAAAGAATGCTGCAGATAAGTTATGTAAGCTGTATGTATAGAGCGGAGGCACGCGGTAGCGTAATTGTGTGAGGCCCTATAATACAAGCAGAAGGTCGCGGGTTCCATTCCCGATTAGGTCAATGTCAGTGATTTGTATTCCCTCCATTCTGAGTCACCTTAGCAACGTGTATGAAAGTAAGTAAGTAAAGTAATCCCTGTAACAGGCCGTGGAGGCCCATAAGGTTGTCAGACGTCGAGGCTAGCACATTATCTAGACACTCTGCTAACAGACGGCGGTGAGGTTGTTAGACTTACGCCCCGGTCATCCTTTACCCCCAAGGAAGATTCCTGGTACTCATTTCTGGTAGAGGTTGAGTCGACCCCAGGGCCATAGTGCAGCTGGAAGGATTAGGTAAATTGAAAAATAAAAATCAACCTCATCTGAACTCGAACCCGCGACATTCCGGCTTGTAACATAGTGCATCAACCAACCACGCTACCGTGTGCCCCCCCCCACACACATACACATACGCGCTTTTATAACTGTAGATACATTGCGTTGTAACTTGTATTTGAAAAGTTTTCATTATGGCTTGGATTTATTAAATTTGGAGGAGACGGCCTTTAGATTTGGAGACAATCTGCGACTGTATTGAATAAGCGGTCGCGGGCAGCAGAAAAATTGATGGCCCTCCAGCTGGGGTTTGGGCGTGGGGCTAACAACTCCTCGCCACACAAAAGAAGTTTGTTACGAAATGTTACGCAGGGCCTCGGATTTGGACGAATGCTTTTGAACGACGTAAGCAAAGGAAAGTGGACACGAGATTTTCCACATAAACTGTAAAGAGTCTCTATAGGGCAGGTACACTGACAACAGTTGACCATTAGGAAGACCTAGACGCAGGTGGAAGGATAATATTAAAATGGATGTTAGAGAAAGAGGATGGGGTGTTATGGACTGGATTAATCTGGTTCAGGATATGGACGAGTGGGTTGTGATCACGGCAAAGAGCTTTCAGGTTCCATAAAATGTTCGGGAATATTTGAGTAGCTGAGCAATTGGTGGCTTCTCAAGAAGGCCTCAGCTCCGTCGATTTAGATTATTCAATAAATATGGAAACAATACAGATTTAAATAGCAGCCTGCAACAAAGAAACGTGGTAGCACTCAGCTGGAGTACAGCCCAGTATAATAGAGTTCATTCACTTCCAGTCGGGTGCGCGGTCCATGTCGCAGCTTCCCGCGTTGAGTGCCGACACTGGTCCTCTGCGGGTCACCGTCCACTACCACCACCACCCAGCCCTAGGGTCCATCACTGGCAGTAACCGCGCGACGCCGTCTGGGCTGCGTCGGTACGCGAGAAGCTACACCGACCATGTCGTGACGGCAGTATCAACGACGCCATCCGTCGGGGTGGTGGAAGGACGCGGAGTCCGACGCGTGAGGTTCGAGTTACCGCCAAAGCCACCGCCACCGTCTGTTCTGCACAGTGGCGCTACAAGCGGAAAGTCAGCACAACAGAAACAAGTAGCGGGAGTCGAAAGTTGGCTGCGAAGTCGAGCGAATGTCGCAACGTTCTTCGGCGGCAGTTTGTCCCACGAGCGTCAGTTGATTCACTGCGCTGGAAGTGGGCAGATATTAACTGGAGGGAGTCGGGCGGTCGTCGCTACAACGGCAGTCTCTGCTCCAAGAATTCACGACACCGAACGATACCGGAGGGGCACCCTGCCACCTACCTTGCCTCCAGCCGCTGCCTGCCCCGGGACCGATTACTCCCCGGAGGCGGTCGCACTTCTGAAGGCAGCGCGTGATGGAGACGAAGCAGCACTCAGTTTCACTATACGGCAGGCCGAATGTACCGAAATGCCGGCCGAGGAACTCAACTGTCAGGACGGCAGCGGGCGGGTAAGTACGTCTGATTCGCGTTAACCCCTGTAATGAAGGTAAAGTTGTCCCCGTGCTTAACTAATTAAGCAATACGCCATCAAAGCGTATGGGGGAGTGGATGTATAGATCCACATATTCTTCTCCTCGGCAATAGTTGGAAATGAGTGTTCAATTTCACTTCCAGGTCGCATTACTCCCGGGAAAATCGCCTGGTACCCATTGGATAGGAGGATGGACACTAGAACCAGTGTGGAGGAAGAAAATTCTTGCCCCTAGCGGGACTCGAACTCCGACCCTAAAACCGTCCAGCCCGTAGCCAGTCGCTAAACCTATTGTAGAAAGTCTTCTTGAGTCTGTAATTGTTATAATTTTTTCTGTACAACACGCATAATCTGAATTGATCTTGGGCCATTTAACGACACTGTCACATGCGCAGCGGTTTCCTGACGTCGAATGGTAAGCGAAGGTGATCGCGTTTTGTTCGTCTTAAAGAATAAGGGAGGAAGCGTTTGTGATTTGTTTCAAGGTAGGCCTACTAACGCAGCATTCGCTGGCGAGACTAACAAGAACCAAAAGAACACTCAATTAGAATAGTCGATGCCCTGCCCGTGGTTCGAACCGACCACCTTCCATGCCAGAAGTAGCCTGAGCATAATGAGGTCGTGTTGACCCGTCTTTCCGTCAGCCAGCTTGTTTGTTCCTAATTCTAATGAAACCATTTCGATGCAATCTGGTATTGACCTACGTTGAAATTTATCGGAGAATTTTAATTTTATCGTCCGAATATAATCTGCAATTTACACGAATCCCAAATCAAATATGATCAATATTATAGTACTGAGATGATATGTAACCTAAACTGTAAGGCCTCATCAAAATCTCCAACTTCAAATTGAAACGTTTTTCGTCATGGCGAATATTTAAAGAAATGCAAGGGGAAACAGTTTTTTACTGTATGGACTAATGGCCGATCACAATGGCCGCGCGGTTTAAGGCATCGAATGTCTTCGCCCGCTCGAACGCTGGGATCGTAGTTTCGAGTCCTGCTCAAGGCATGAATGTCTGTCTGTTTATTGTGTGTTTATGTTGTCCTGTGTAGGTAGCGGCCTTGCGACGGGCTGGTCCCCGTCCAAGGAGTCCTACCGGCTCCCTTAGGTTAAGAAACTGAAATGAAACGGAGCGTTCCACGGATATCCTATGCTCCAAGTTGGAGCAAAAGGAATACGGAATAATATAGACTAATGAAGTTTGTAAGTATTTTTCAGTACCAGATTTATATCTGCAATAAATAAAAATGAAAACAAGTGATGTACAAAAATAGCAAAACGACTTGTTGTGTAAATAAGCCCTTTGTGCACCATGGCAGAACGTTTTATGCTATTGTTAAGCACAGTAACACTCCTTTCCCTCTCTGATTCAGTGACGTGTTGTTTCATACACGAGACGGAAATACCAGCTGTAGTGATTTGCTATGCGATTTGTCGATTTGATGATGGTTTGTAGGACTTTCCCAGTAGGGACTCATAAAGCCTTTCCTATTACACAGTCGAGTACTTCCAGCCGTACAAATACTGTGTTGTTTATGTTACATTTTTATGTAATGTAAGTACATAACCGTAATTGTTCCCGTCAGCACGACTTCTTGTAGGTTCACTATACAGTAATTACACACTACACATTTCGGCGTTTCAGCCACCATGATGTGTGCATTGTCACTACTGGCTGCACTGCTCGGCCCAGTGGGGACGTTTTGTGTAATGTAACCATGTATGTCCTTGTTATAAAGTTAAATATTATAATTGTTAAATTGTTGAATTCTGAAGTTCTTTTGTTATAAGTGTTGTCCTTTACGAATATACGTATGTATCATGTTTTAGGTAATTTTGCATTTTGTGAATGCAGACGTGGTTTTTCACAGATGGCTAGTTGTCGTCTTCATTTTCGTTGTTAAGCTCCGAGTTTTAGATGTAGATTTTTTTGGTTATGATCTGAAATGTGAATATATATATATAAGCGTGTAAGTGACTTATGAAGTAATTTGCCTCATGGATTAGTTCACTCCATACGGGAACTACAACTCTATTCGCTTGCGTTTTTGAGAATGTTACAGATAGTTATTGTTACTGATATCAGTATTAACATTACTGATTATTATTCGGGAGGAAATAACTAGTTACTTAAGCACAGATTCTATGAATTTTAGATTTGTCGCATATAATTTCAAATTTTTGCATTGATCCCATTTTTGTTATTGTCTGCTTATGGGCAGTATTTCATATTTAAAACGCAATTTATAAGACTGTGTATAATCTACCATCATGCAAAATTTCATTTCTTATCCAGCGGTGATTGTCTCTGTCAAAGCAAAAGTTAATGAAAATATTGTCATGAACCCATGTTTTTATACCGTGTCAAAAAGATGCATCATCACCTGTTACCATGCAGTATTTCAGCAGCATATGAGGTAGCTATGATGACTTGTTGCTGCATGCTGGCCAATTTAAAAGCCCCAAAACCTTAATCGGCCCGCTAGACAAGAAATAATAATGAAAATAATGCTTTTTATCAAAATTTTAGAGTAACTTTTTATGCAGCAAAAGTTGTTAAGTGTTAATGCATTGAAATATTTTAATTTGGGGGGGAGGGGCGTAGATTTTTTTTTGCAAGATGGAAGAACTTTAGTCTAAAAGCCTGACACTACTTCTTTGGCAGCAGATTTCAAGTGCCCGGGCGTATGTGAGAAGTATAACTCGAAGGCGGTTTCCAATTTTTTTTTTATCAACGAGTAGATTTCTCGGTTTACTCATGACGAGTTTCATTCCTGAGAAGAACTACTCACAAACGTGTGTGCTTCCGAACAGATTTGCCGTTCATCAGCAGAGTTCCTTATGCACTGGTAGTTCATCAGCAGTTATCAGTTTCTATGTCACGGACCCGAACATACCAGAATGTGCATTTCAGATACGTATCACACACACACACACACACACTATATATATATATATGTCATTTACATTTAAAATTCGGCAGTAACATTTTCAATGTTAACGTCAAATGGTATGAAAATAAATTGACTGTGGCCTCATATTCGCGTTTATCTTGAAACCGGAAGTTGAATTCTTCCGTGTAGTTCCTATCATAAGTAGGCGTTTCCAGTCCCAGAATTGGGAAGGGTGTCGTTATTTGATCACAGTTGCTGCTCACAAAGTTGACGATCCCACTCGAACGTTGTTATTTTATCAGATATTTCATTGACAGTGCAGTTCCCACGTTTTACTTTCATTGCGTCCATGTGTTGAGTGATCCTGCTCACGCAGCCGAGGTGACAAAGCTGAGGACTACGAGTATATTCCCCTTTCATAATAATTCACTCATAGCTTTAACACCCGATAGAGAATGACCCAACAAACTTCTCTGTAAAAGAGAGCATCTCTATTGTCAGATTCAATACAATTCAAGAAATCATTCAATTATCGATAACCGCCTCTGTGGTCTAGTGATCAGAGTTCCTGGCTACAGATCCAGAGGTTCCGGGTTCGATTCCCGGCGCTACCAGATTTTCTGTGAACTGGTGAGTCTGGAACCGGGTTCACTCAGCCTCGTGATGATAATTGAGGAGCTATTTCAAGGAAATAGCGGCTCCGGTCTAGAGAACCGAGATTAACGGCTGTAGGGATCCGTTGCGCTGACCACGCGACGTCCTCTATCCGCTAAAGTTGACACAAACTTCGCCGACAAGCGGCGGTCGGAAAAGTTCGCATGCAGACTACAGGCCAAGGAGTTATTTTCTTTTTACCTAATTAAATTAAACAGTTTTAAAGCCATTGCAACAACATTCGTCATTTTGAGACATTCGTACACACATTTTCCTGGTTTATCAAGTCGTAGTGTATTATCAAATGACGTTCAATATTCTTCGCGTCGTTGGTGATGAGCGAAGACTCACCTTTGGTCCCTCTGAAGGAAAAGTTCTGTGTTGGAACATCCGGATTTTGCAACAACATCTCGACTTCTGTCTGTAAATCTGCAACAATGATGAACTTTTTCGTTAGCATCAAGGTAGCCGATTCCTCAGTCATACTGAACTCCATGTCGAATCCATAAAGAAAACAGCGAATTTATTAACAATTCATTGCCCATTCGAAGCTGCAAAAATATCTTCATATATTCTTTCTAGTTGCGTTTATTTTTTCTGTATTTTACGCAGTTTTAATCCATATATATTCTCGTCTGTTAAAACAAACTCCACTGACAGAGTACGCCGTTATAAACCTCACTGTACAACCAATCTGTCTGAAATTTGTCAGACATAAGCCAGAAATTTAAAACAAACTCTTATATCAGAATCGCGACGATACAAAATGTGTGTTCTGTAAAATTATTGGGAATGGTGTCACATTTGTGCCATTGATATTTATAACTTTTATAATAAGAATTGCAATTTCTTGCGGAATTGTGGGCGTGCATATACACGCTGTAACTGCTGCATAACAATTTGCAGACATGTCAGCAAAATTCTTTACAACTCGTATATTTTACAAACAAAACCCTACGCCCATGAAATATTAACAGTCGTCGCAAGAAGGAACCGAATCCTGAGTTCTATTAAAATTGTCACGTAATTCGGCATGAAAATGCTAACGAATATTTCCTGTTGCAGCACAGAAATGTCGGTCCCCTTATTTGTCAGACGTCGCTAAGTTCATGAATTTGTAGCTTGTTTGCCCATGAAGTGTGCTTATGGAGTATAGCCAGCAGGTTGGGCCTGTCAACGGCACGCAGTAGTCGAAAAGGGCTTTGACCACAAAGGACACTTTCACATCACCTGACACTTTGATGGTGTCTAATTAGAAGTATAATGAACCAGAAGCTTTCCTGTACTTCAGGAAGTCTTGCGGTGCCATTTGACCCTAAAGCCTCACAGATCCTTGTTAAGAGATGCTCTTTAATTTTCACGTGCATAGTTTGCTCATGCCAATCACAACGGCAGCGCATGAACTGTCTTGGCCCGCTAGAAC